GATAACCGCGCGGGAGCCGGGTCTGCGCTGCGCCCCCATTCCCCGCCCCTCTGCGCTCCCCGACACTACGCGGGCGTGCGTTGAGGGTACAGTGGTGGGGCTCGGGACCCAGGCTCCGGGATCGTCTCTGGGTGCACGTGGGCCCGGCGATAGGGAGGCATGGAGAACCTGGGTCCCGCAGAGTTGGGAGCAGCATTGCGTGATAGCTGGTCTTCCTAATCCAGCCCCCCCCTCCCCTTGCTATTTTTTTTCTTTTGCCCTCTTTCTTTTCTTTCTTTTTAACATGTATTTTCTTTTTTGGTGAACGTAAACTTGAGCGCCTTCTGGCCCCTGTCCTTTGGTCTCTTAATCTGGGAGACAGGCTGGACCGTTCCCCTTGCCTTACTTAACTCACGTCAAGGAGTTTTCAATGTCTCCCTGGATACAGGAAAATTGAGACCTTCAGAGTGGGAGAATTCCACTTGTTCTGGAGTCAGTGGGTGGAGTTTGAAAATGATTGCACAACGAATGGCAAACAGGGCTTTCAGGGCCCAGGAATGGAGAACTGCAGGGAGAGGGGCTGGAAAGGTGGAAACCCCCTCTCTATTTTCTTGCAGTGAAAAACATCTTGAAACATTGGAAGTCCGGCTTGGTCACTCAGGACTCTTTAATACTACAGTTGACCCTTAAACAATGTGGGGGTGGGGTTAGGGGCACCCTCCCCTGCATAACTTTTGACTACCCCAACACTTAACTACACAGTTGTCCCTCGGTACCGAGGGGGCTTGATTCCAGGACCCCGCAGATACCAAAATCCTGCGGATGCTCAAGTCCCCTATATAAAATGGCGAAGATCAATGCATACAGTCGGCCCTCCGCAGCCATGGACTCCCAACCCGGGATGGAAAACAGTACAGGTATTTATTGAAAAAAAAATCCGTGTATAAGTGGACCTGCACAGTTCAAAACCGTGTTGTTCAAGAGTTAGCTGTAACTTAATGATACATTTGAGTATTCTTAAAAACCCCTCCTGTGTGAAATTATGAAATAATGTTTTTCTAGTGTGATTCATGAACTTGAAGAAGGAGAAAAAAGGTTTGGTGTGTCAATTAGCTTTTGGAGACCTTTTTCTAAAGTCAGGTATTTTCACGTCTCTGCATGAGAGTTTTACTACTTCTCAATTACCTCTCTTTCTCTCCCTTTCTTTGTACTCTAAAAGAAAGATCCAGTACTTGCAGGACTGAAAAAGAAGCTGTGAACTGAATGTACTCTAGGGATTGAACACTGTCACTTTGGACACTTCACTTTTTCCCTGAGGGTAGAGAGCCAATCTCCGTGTTTGATTTCATAGGTCTCCCAGGGGAGGACTCTGATAAAAAGCCACTGCAATTGAGGACATAAGTTCCCTTTTATGCCACTGGGGTAAGGACAGAAAGTCTGGATTAGGAACTGAGGTTTAATCAACTAGCATTTTAAACCACCAGGATAAGAGGTAATGACTCTTTGAGGCAGCCCTCGGGTTAACAGCTGGGTATGAGTAGTCATTTGTGTTCTGTACTGTCTCATTTTTGTTTACTTATTTCATGTACCTTCTCTGTTCATGCTTTTCTTTTTTTTAATATTTTTATTGACTTCAGACAGGAAGAGAGAGGGAGAAAGAGCTAGAAACATCAATGATGAGAGAGAATCATTGATCAGCTGCCTCCTGTATGCCTCCTACTGGGGAATCGAGCCCGCAACCCGGGCATGTGCCCTTCATCGGAATTGAACTTGGGACCCTTTAGTCTACAGGCCAACGCTCTATCCACTGAGCCAAACCAGCTAGGGCTACTCATGCTTTTCTGTGCATCTTTTTTTCCTTTTTATTTCCAATTGACTATAAAATGAAATTGAAATACATGGTTAAATATTAGTTTTTGAATTTTTATTTAAAAAAATCAGTGACTATCTTATGTCTTCAAAAGTCACTTTTAAGTTAATTCCTTATGACCCTTAATTTTTTATTTTCTTTGTGTCACTGACTTGAAAAATATTTGTAATTCTAACTTGACCTCTGCCCTATTTTTCAGGAAGCAGAAGTGATATTTAACTAATTGGGTTGTTTTGAAAATTGTGAAGGAATTAAAAGAAAAGTGACCCATATATACCATTTTAATTTTTTGGGCCATTACCCTATACCCCTTATTGCTGTCAAAACCACATGGGCTGGGGGCCAGGGATGGATGGAAGACACCTCCCCCTACCCATACCCTTCCTGTGTGTGGTTGGAAAAAAAAATTTTTTTTTCTCTGAATAAAAAAGATTCTAATAAACAAAAAAAGAAAAGTGACCTGCTTTGGTTACATTATGAGACTTAAAGTGAGAAAGAATTGGAGATGTGCTTTATTGGTTCCTGGTGTTTTAACCATCTATGTAGTGACTCTTGATCTTTTAGGTTAATTGTGGCATTGTTTCAAAACTACATCCATTTGATGAATGACTCTTGCAGTAACTATTTTCTTCTAAAGTTAAAATTATAGTACATTTCAAGTTCTACTGGACAACATTGGTCTGAAAAGATGGGATGTACATTGTTAAGTATTTCAGGCATGTTTTAGAACACCAAGCTCATTCATATTACTTCCTAAATCCTTATGTAGAATTTTTCCCCCCATATATTTGTATTGATTTCAGAGAGGAAGGGAGAGCGAGAGAGAGATAGAAACATTAGTGATGAGAGGGAATCATCTATCGGCTGCCTCCAGCACACTGCCCACTGGACATCGAGCCCACAACCTGGGCATGTGCCCTTGACCAGAGTAGAACCTGGGACCCGCCCCGTCCGTAGGCTGAAGCTCTATTCACTGAGCCAAACAAGGTAGGGCAGAATTTTTTTATAAGGATGAATTCTTAAAAAATTAATAGACTTAATTATTTTTTAGCAGTTTTAGGTTTACAGAAAAATTGAGCATTAATTGGTGGTGTACATTCTGAGTTTTGACACATGTATCCACCATTACAGTATCATACAGAATAGTTTCATTGTCCTCTATTTGTCCCCCTCCCTTCTCCCAAATCACTGGCAACCACTAATATTTCTACTGTCTCTATAGTTTGGCCTTTCCAGAATGTCTGAGGTTGATTTTTTTTTTTTAACTAGATTTTTGCTTGGGAATGTTAAAAATGATTTTTAACTACTGTTAAACTTACTTTTCGATCAGTAAACCACTTGGAAGGATAAAGATAATATGGAACTGAGGCTCAAATTAACAAAATCTTTTACATAGTGCCCTATAGTTTTTACGGCATATTTGCACACACGTTAACTCTTTCAGCATCACTTTGATGCTTTAGAGAAGGCTGGGCATTTGTCATTGTCTCATTTGCAGATGACAAACTGCTCAGCAAGGTTAAGTGATTTGCCTCAGGGGTGAAGCTGAGTCTGGAACCCAATAAATACCCTTTCATCTATACTACAGTAATAAGTAGTGTAGTGGTGGGTAAATAGTATGGATTTTGGAGTCAGGACTCTTGGCTCTCTGCCACTTACTAGCTGTGTAACCTTGGGCAAGTTTCTCAATCTTTCCAAGCCTTAGTTGCATCATCTGTGAAGAGGGGGTGATGCCAGTACCTACCACATAGGATTGTTGTGAAGAATAAGAGTTGATGTGATGCATTCAGCACAGAGCCAGAATTTTACTTGGTTTGAAAGGGAGAACATATGAAAGATTGATTTCTCTTGCTGTTACTCATTTCTCATCTTCCAACCTTTGTATTCTTCCTTCCCAGACTCTCTCTGTGATAGATTCAATGAGGAGAAATCAGTTCAGGGTGGGGCAAGAGTATGGGAGGGGTAGGAAGCAACCATTTTATTATCATGTTTTTCTTCCTAGTTGTGGTCGTGATGAATTTCCACTCTTCTGGCAGGAGAGGAAATAATAAGATTCAAAGTGATCTTCTATTTACAACATTGTTGTCTAATTTTGTCATCCAGCTGTGGTAAATTTCATTTTCACGTGAATCTAATAGGCAAAGCAGTAATGAGAACAGACCAGCTACAGCACAGTCCTGTATTACCATAGTTTTAGACCAGAATATGCCACATTTACTTATCATGTGACTTGAAGGTGTTTTATATGTTATTCTGTGTGTCATTTATATTGATTTTGACTGGAGAAGTTTCATTTAGGGATGCATGAATCAAATCCAGATGCCATAACACAGAGGGTGCATGTGATTGTTTAAGGAAGGATCCATTATAACACATTTCTTTTCAATAGATATGCTGTTCAGATTTTACACTTTCGGAGAGTTGTGTTTCAAAGGGAAGAAATTCAAGACCTCACTGTTTTCCTGCACTGTGCTAGGCACTTTAAAAGTGCTTGCATTCTAATATCTCCTTACTTCTGCAGAGTAGGTGATTTCCCCAGGTATATAGATAAATCATTTGAGGCTCAGTCAGGGGGGAAAAAACCCACAAAAAAATTTGCTTAAATAACACAGTTGGTGATGTTGGCCTAGAGGTGGTATGTATGATGTAATTGATAGTGTAACTGATGCATTGTACTGCATGGACAGTTGCTGCTTTCCTAGTAAGTTTTTTTCTTTTTTTTTAAAAAATCTTTTTATTGATTTCAGAGAGGAAGGGAGAGGGAGAGAGATAGAAACATCATTGATGAGAGAGAATCATGGATCAGCCGCCTCCTGCGACCCAGGCATGTGCCCTTAACCGGAATTGAACCCAGGACCCTTCAGTCCACAGGCCGGCGCTCTATCCATGATCCAAACTGGCCAGGGCTTTCCTAGTAAGTTTTAACCTCATATCCCAAAGAAATCCCTTTGCCTCTTCCTCCCCTTCCTGCCCCTGCCCCCCCCCCCCTTCCTTCTTATTTGGTTCTAACCTGATTATTAGCAACTTTTATTTAGTATATGACAGTACTTAAAATGTGTAAAGTAGTATACGAATTTAATATAGTATTCATCAGCATTGAGAATTAGCGATGTTTAATTTTTTCCCAAGCATTTTCAGAGAAGCATAAAAATAGGTCAGGTGATCCTTTAAGGGTTTGAACCCTGAGAGAGAGAGTGTGTGTGTATTTTTTGTTTACATCTCTATTGTTGAAAGTATTATGTATGTCCTCCTTTTCCCCCCACTGACCTCTTCTCTCCTCCTGTATGCCCTACACTGCCCCAGGCCTTCACCACCCTATTGAGAGTATATTTTTATGATTGAGTTTATTTTCTAGTTGAAATTCTCTTGGTACTATAACTACTTAAATGTATTACTTAAGTGAAAAAGATATATAAAATGACGAGGGTTGTCCTCCTGTGCTATCATTAGCATTTACTGCTCGGGGTGTTGATTTGCATTCTATGTTACATTTCTAAAATGTCCCCAGAATGATCCCCATTATCTCCCACTTTCCACCTTGTAGTCTGCCATGAGTAATCCTATATAAAAAAGGGCTAATATGTAAATCGACCGAACAGCAGAACAACCGGTCGCAGTGACATGCACTGACCACCAGGGGGCAGATGCTCAATGCAGGAGCTGCCCCCTGGTGGTCAGTGCGCTCCCACAGGGGGAGTGCTGCTCAGCCAGAAGCCGGGCTCATGGCTGGTGAGCACAGCAGCGGAAGCCTCTCCCACCTCTATGGCAGCACTAAGGATGTCCGTGGGGAGTGGGCCTAAGCCGTCAATCGGACATCCCCCAAGGGCTCCCAGACTGTGAGGACCCTTTCACAGGGGTCGCCTAAGACCATCGGAAAACACATATATAATTACATATTGTTTTTGTGATTAATCACTATGCTTTAATTATGTTCAATTTGTAACAATGAAAATACATCCTGCATATCAGATATTTACATTACGATTCATAACAGTAGCAAAATTACAGTTATGAAGTAGCAATGAAAATAATTTTATGGTTGGGGGT